GGGGTTGCGACCAAACCCCGCGAACACTTTTTGTGACGTACCAACTGGTGGAATCATGCACTGGTGTCTTCTATTCACTCCATCAGCACTTTCTCAGGCAAACAAACATCATTTAGAGTACTAGTACTAGTAGGCCTCCAAATCTATGATACAGTAGTAGATTTTGGGCCCTTGTTATTGCACGTGATGACTAGTTTGACTAAAAAAAAGTTAATGCATACATAATGCACGTGCTCAATAGTTTTGAGTTTTTGAATCCCATAAAATAAGTGAGATGAGTTTTGCATACACTTGCTTGCACCATATTTTTGGCTTGAATCCCAATAGGAGTCATTACATGCTGAAAAGATGGCACAAATCCACATTTTTAACAATTTGTTTGATCTTGAACAGAAGACAGTTTGAGTCAGATGTTGGCCCCCATGGCTACATAATAGTGAAAGGCACATGAATCAAAAGAAAATTTAAATACACAACTAGTAGTCATGGGGGGATTGAAGGGGGCTATTGATTATCACAAGGTATTCAGGACTAGACTGCAAAATTAAATAGTTAGACTTGCACATCCAGAATTTTTTGCCCACCCTATGATACATTTCCAATTTTTAACACTATCAATGACTAGCCAGCAACATATAAGATTTTTGTACCTGCTGCATCTTTTCACAAATTGTATTGGGCTCTAAAAACCTGGAACATCATCTTCAAAAACATCTTTGGAAGTTACTAATTTGAGAAGAATCAACATTGTATTAGTTTTATCTGTTTTCATGGTGACTGCTGACAACAAAACAACAATCTGGAATGTATGATTTCAAAAGATCAGTTTATTCTTCAATTAACAAGAGAAAAGTCAACTTTAAAACAATATCACTAAAAATATCATAACAAGCAAATGTCACACCAATAAAGTGACCCCCATTGTTACTAATGTAATGGTATCATCACAAGCACAGTAGTAGAAGGAACATCCATAGAGTCAGTTTTCAAATGTTCTGATGGTGCAGAACCGATTCTGCTTTTTTGCTGTAAATGGTGGCTAGTAGAAACGCTCAATCGAGCTCTGAAGAATTTGTAATGAAAAATTAATGATGGGAACCACAGGATTAGTGTGGCAATCACTTGTTATTGTATTTGTACAACACAGTAATAAATGGCAAGCACAAAATGATTCTCAGCTTGTCTGATTTCCATTTGGTTCTCCTGGTGATCTGCAAGTGAATGGAGGTTTTAACTTGCTCCGCAGAAAGTAGCAAGAAACAAGTGTGAATCAGCCACTGATAGAAGGATGATCAAACATTGGGTAGAGGACGAAGGGAAGTGTACTTGTGATTTTTAAGAAGGCTAAGTTTACAGAATAAAGGGAACGGGCAGGCTATCAGTTCTACTACTTTGTATTATCTTATGTTGGTACAGTCAAAGAAAGCAAGTGATTGCCAAAGATATACTTCCTCCTCTGTCCTCAATTCCTGTCCTCGTCTATGCGAGTCATTATAATTGTATTTGCTGTCCTCCTCAATGTGTGTCACCACATATTAATTGATGGTTATGGTAATTGAACTTAACAAATTATGACCAAGACAAGAAAACTGTCTGCACTAATGATGATTGTGGCCTGAGAAAGTGCTCAGCAATACTAACTTTTTATAGCTGAAATTCTGGATGTTCTTAGTACTAGTAAATAACTGGTAGTAGAATCCTTGTTTGAACCAGTAAAAACACACTCTCAACATTCCAAAAATGGCTCTAGTTCAATACTTATATAGGACTATGAAATTGCACAAGTATATACCACTTCTTTTCTTAATGAGTGGTGGTGTCCTTTTTGCATGTTTTCTGCTGAAACAAACTCAATATTGGTGCAATTGGAATGTTTCTTTTTGTAACACCACAGAACAACAGATCCATCATAGATTAATACTGCAGTTGTAGTATTATTAATTTTATTAGTGTCTTGCAAGTAGGAAAATTATATTAATAGTCCTTCAAACAGAGCAATATTCAGTACTATGATACATTTTATTTCAATGGTTGAAAGGGCCCTTCAACTTCAACCAGTCACTTAAGGACTTGTTGCCTTCTTGCAGCAACAATAGTAGTAGAATTCCACCATTATTGAAGAATATTATTTTAAGAGGTTCAGAAAATTCTTGAGGTAGTACTCCAGGTGTTCAAAATTGCATCATGCTGTTTTGATGACTTGTTCTGCACAGTCATCATGTTTGATTGGAGATTATATGAAATTATTGAGGAGCATTCATTATTTCAGTTGTGAAGGTGTTATACAAACATTCTGAAAAATACTTGTCACTTCTTGCCAGAGGGCTAACATAAATCATCATGATAATTCCAAACAAACAGGTAATTTATAGCAAAGGGTGGGATAGTAATCCTTATTTTGGAGTCGCAGGGATAGTAGCAATGACACCGTGGCCGAGCGGTTAAGGCGATCGACTAGAAATCGATTGGGTTTATCCCGCGTAGGTTCGAGTCCTGCCGGTGTCGCTTTTGCTCGAAGTCCATTTTTTACCATCCGTGACGGCAAAGCGCCGTGTACACCATCGTTATCACAAATTACTTCGCATTCTCTCTTCACCTTTACGATTGGGCTGGCATCATTGTACATGTTTCCATGATAAAGCTGTGATCCATCGAATCCTAGACGATCTATCATTGAGGCCTACTGTATTATTAAAAAGTTTATTAGTAGTCGGATCCATACAGAGGTGCACTAAGGTGTATATATCACATATATTATAGATAACATGGCTTCGCGGGAGTCCGGTAGCTTGTCCTCCACTGGGCAGCCGCTTCCTCACGCCCTTGCTACTGGTGGCTAGTTCCTCCGTTTCTTTTGCTTCCGCCGCCGGGGGTGCTTGATCCGGTCCCCCACGGCCCTGACGCGGTTCGAGACCTTTTGCTTGGAGAGCCTCCACATCTTGCCCCCCAGGATCCGCAGGGACTTTTGCTCGTCCTCCAGGTTCTCCAGGTCGACCGAGGTCTTCCACAGGGTGGCCTTGGTCTCCTGGAGCTCCGAGTGGTACCGGGTCAGCTCCCCCTGGGTCCTGGTGAGGCGGTTCTGCGTGGATTCCAGCGTCGACCGGGTCGAGTCCAGCTGGGTCCTGGCCTTTTTGAGGGCGTTTTGCTCCAGCTCGTACTTGTCCTCCAGGACGCGGTTGGTCTCGGCGACGTCCCTGAGCTCCTTCTTCATCGATTCCTTTTCCTGGGTTTCCATTTCCAGCTTGGTCTTGGTCCAGTTCCATTTTTCGGTCGCCTCCACCAGGGCCTTCTCCTTGGTCTCGAGCGACTCGGTGAGCCCCTCGTTGGCGGTCGTGGCCTCGGTCAGCCGCGACTCGGTCTCCTTGCGCAGGGCGGTCTCGGACTCCAGCTTTTCCTGGCTCGTCTCGAGCTCCTCGGTGGTCTTGGAGAGCCTGGCCTTGAGCTTGGCCAGGAGGCCGCCCTGGCTCTCGACCTCCCCGGCGAGTCTGCCGTTGTCCTCCTCGGCATCGGAGAGCTGGTCGATGAGGGTCCCGTTCTCGGAGGTGAGCTTCTGGATGGCCGTGTTGGCTTCCTCCAGCTTGGACTCGGTCGCAGAGGTTGCCGGTGCTGTCTCGGTGCGCTTGGGGAGGGGCGTCACGTCGCCCGCCCCGAAGGATTCGTTCCCGTACCGGCCGCCTTCCTCCTCGTCGGCCTCGTCCTCCTTTTGCGACAGGGCCACAAAGGCCACGCCCAGGACGGTCGCGAAGACCAGGACGCCGCCCCCGATGACTACCTCGTTGGGAACGTTCATGGAAACGCCTCCACCGGACGCCGAGGCGGCAGCAGCATCGGCGCCCACCGACGACGCCCAGCTGTTCGAGGCGGCCTCCGCGGCGCTGTAGGCCGTCGGGTTGCCGAGGACCGAGTCGAGGCCCTTGACGAAATCCAGGACGCCGTCCCCGGACGCCGCCAGGAAGGTGGCAGAGGTTCTCTGGGCCTTCTTTGCTACGGCGTGCCGGTGGGTCTTGGTCGCCAGGGGAGACGCCGGGGTGGGATTCCACGCGAGGGCCGAGGGGGCCGCCGCCGACAGCACCAGGGTCAGCAAGAGAGGGGAACGCATAGCAAGCATTCTTCTTTTCGAGTAATCGAATCGAAACAAAACTTTCTTCTCAAGTATTGTCGTATTCGTGCTCCACGCCGATTTGGATGGGACCGTCCTTTCGCCTTCTTTGAATTAGTGTCGTACCGTATGGTCAATTTCGATGCTAGCGGAAGAGTAACAATCTTCTTGTGAACTCGGCTGACACCGATACTCCATTATTTTGAAAAAATAGTGTGTGCGACGGTACTTGGTACGTACCGTACGTACCATAGCGTACGGAGAGCCTTGCGTACCGTTCTCTTGGTCATTCGGCATCGATGATTCGGTTTCATTTGTTTTTGGTGACGTTGTTGTGCCTCGAAAGCCTGAAAATTTCTACATTCCGCAGTGTACCGTAAGACTCGTAAGTATGTAGAGTAACTGTGGCGTCGCACGGTCCGCGCGTGTACCATAAATGTAACCAGAATGTGTACTCTGTTGAGCTCCGTGTAATTATCGCGAGAAGAGTTTTTGTACTGTGCGCTCAAGAGCTTTAGCTCGAGAGCGCACAGTACAAAAACTCTTCTCGCGATAATTACACGGAGCTCAACAGAGTACACATTCTGGTTACATTTATGGTACACACAGTGACATCACTGAGATCGAGAGCTTGCTCGAGATCGAAGTGATGTTACTGCAAGTATCTTCAACAAGCTCGAGAGCTTTAGCTCGAGAGCTTGTTGAAGATACTTGTGGCGTGGGACCGATGCGATGCCACAGTTATTTACGTAATCGATTGAGTAGCAACGAAATTACATGTAACCACGCAGCGCGAGGTTACTAAACAGCGAGCAAATGAACACATGCAGTGGTGCCTCCTCCTCCGATACTGTAGGGGATTGGGCTCTTTTCCCTCTCCGGTCAAGCACTGCCTCCTCCGATTTAGGGGACTAATGAACTACAAGCACTGCCTCCTCCGATATAGGGGATTGGGCTCTTTTCCCTCCCCGGTCCCTCCCTGGAGCCTGCAAATGAACTACAAGCACTGCCTCCTCCGATATAGGGGATTGGGCTCTTTTCCCTCCCCGGTCCCTCCGGATTGCTGCAACCGAATTACAAGCACTGCCTCCGCAATATAGGGGATTGGGCTCTTTTCCCTCCCCGATCCTTCCCCGGATCCGGCAAATGAACTACAAGCACTGACTCCTCCGATGTAGGGGATTGGGCTCTTTTCCCTCCCCGATCCTTCCCTGGATCCGGCAAATGAACTACAAGCACTGACTCCTCCGATGTAGGGGATTGGGCTCTTTTCCCTCCCTGGTTCCCCCTCGCTGGTGGTGGATGCTGCTTTTCCTCCAGTTTCGATGAAAAAATGGACTGATTTTCAGTTTCTGGTACAAATTTCACGTAGGATTCTACGAGAAAATTAGAAATCAAGGCTCCACACTGCTCAAATTTGCTATTTGTGGAGCAAAATCCAAGCCTTAGATCAGTACTACGAAGTACGTACTTATGGTTCAGTTGTGGTGAACCGCGTCAGCATCGAATCAAAGACTAATGATCATTACCTTTATATCCAGCAATGATTAGAAATCAATATATTATTSTTCACGCTACTAATTGTATTGCCGCTGATATTTTGCTGGAAGCTTTTCGCTCCCCTCAGCAGTAGCAAGCTCAGTTCTTATTAGTAGGAACAAGCAAACACCAGCAACGACTGCTGCTGCAAYACGGAACAATGAATTGCTTACATCATAAGACACATCGATTGGGATCGCATCGACTGCATGGTTGTTAAAAGTTTGAGCTCATTCCGGGCAGCCTCTAGCTGCCTTTYGAGGGATGCACTCTTGGCTTTCTCCCATTCAAGCTCTTTCCTCTTAAACTCATCCTTCCCCTCATGAATGCCGATTGCTAGCTTCTTTTCCTGTAACTCACTGGTGAGCGCCGCAATCTTTTCATGAAGATCTGTAATGTTCTTCTTTGCTTCATCGAGTTCCTTCTTAGTACTATCCAGTTCAATTTGTCGTTGTTTCTTCCTGTCGGCGCCGTGTTCAGGGGGGGAGGAACAAGCAGCAGCAGCGTCCTCATCTCCTTTTTTCTGGTTTGCTGCTGCTGATTTTTTGAGCTCCCTAAGGAGCGCTACTTTCAACTCAGTCCCTGGAGATGATTTTTGTTGCTTGACAACGGCAACTGGAGGAGCTACTGTCGGTGCTTGATGAGTTACAGCCGGAGGTACGACTGGTACAACTGCCATCGTTTTGCTCTTCTTTTTGTTGAACCCAGCATGAAGAGTATTTTGTACTCGCTGCTGAGTTGTCGACGTTGCATGGTCATACACTTGAGAGGACTTTGCACTCTTATGTCGAAGATGATTCAT